AAATAATGTCTATATGTTAATGAATAAAAGGATGATTCTTATCACGAATCTAGCTGAAGTTCTTACATCTAAAACTAACGTTAAATGATTCTAGAAGTAGATTAAAACTTTTATCTAGTTAATAGTATCTATCTGTCCTAATATCTTATTTCCTATTATTAAATTAACTCGTTTTATAACTAATCTAGACGAATAATATTAGGCTATTCTTAAATAGGTCTTCTATTATTTATAAGGCTTAAAAGATCTATATATTTTCTTTGTAAACAAGTAGTACTATCTAGTTAAAAACCTTACTACTATTTACAATATTAAGAATTGAATACGTGATATATTTAATCTCGAATTAGTAGATCTTAATCCTATCCTTAAATATTAAGATTTAAAGCTTATTAGATATTCTAATATTAACTAGTCTAGCCTTTATTCTAAGAGTGTCCTCTCTACGTCTAATTTTATCTTTATATTTAATAGAGGACCTATTTTCTAGACCTTTAAGAAACAGCTCTATATTACAATCTTAACCACTAAATCTAAATATATTGCGTAGGCTTTTACAACTTAGAAAGCTATCTAGCTTACTTGTCTACTTACTAAGCTTTGTATATAGATTTTTAAATCTATTAAAATTATAATAGATAATAATAGAGCTATTATACTTACTAAAAATCTTATTTTTTATATAAATATAAAATACATCTTTATACGATTTTATAAGATTTAAGAAGAAGTTAAAACTAGTAATATTATCTTTATAAAGATCTCTATATAGATAGCTTTACTAAACCCCTTACCTATATCCTATTTTAATATTAGATAATCATATTTAATTTAAGGAAGCTTTTTAATAATATACTTTATACAAATACAGTTTTTATAACTCTTAATACTATAGATTATTATATTAATACTTTATTAATAAAAAATACTATTATTTATACCTTTTCGCCTAATTCCTCGTCTACATAAGAAGAAATCGCTTCTTCCTCCTCTCTCTAGAAAGGATTTCTTAACAATTAAGTACCTCTTTATAAAACTATCTTTATTTTCTAATCGAGATATTATCTAACACTATATACTCTATTTATATAATCTATTTTATCTTATTTATTAGATCACTCTTTACTTATTCTCTAGACCCTAGATATACTTTTTATTTTACCCCTTTACCCTTTCTTATCTATAAACTTAATGATATTATATTATATTTTCTTACGTTATTACTAGCTTTATAGAGGGCTCTTTTTTAAAGAGATAGATAGATAATCTTATAAAAGATATTAGAAGGGAGTTCTTATTATTAGTAGATCATATGACTATAACCCTCCTGCCTATTAATTCTCGCTCCTCCATAACTTCTCTCTTCTTCTTTCTTTCTCTTCAGACACACAAATACTATTCTCTAAATAGGCTCCTTTTCTTCCTGCCTATAATCTTATAGACCTTCCAAGAAGATTAAATAAATATCTTTTCTAGTCTCTTTTATAACTATTATTAATATAATATAAAAAGAATTTAAAAGTTTTTTTAATATTACTTAAAATAATTAATCCTATTTTCTATCTAACTATTAAAAAACTAGAGTTTATACTATAAAATAAAAATAATTATAATTATAAATAAATCATTATAAATCTTTTTAATATTATAGTAATAATCTCTAAGTTTCTATTTAGAAGTTTTTAAAACTTTAAATATTATTTTCTTTTAAAGAACTTTCTTTTTTTAAAGCTAATTAATTGATTTCTCTAAATAATTAAAAAGTATATTATAGATATTAAATATAAAATAAATAGTGATATCTTTTAACTTTAAAAGTATAGTTATAAATTTAAAAAAAGTTATATAATCTATAATAGATAATTAATCTAATACTAATATTCTTAATTAAATATAAAATTAATAAGATTCTTTTAAAGATAATATTAATTAAAAATTAATTAAAGTTTTTTTATATAATATAATATTAGAAATATTGAATTCTATTAGATATATATATCCTAAATAAGAATAAGTTTTAATAAATTAAATTATAATTTAAAAAATTGTTTTTAATATTATAAACTACTATTTATATAAATAATAAGCTTTTAGATCTAAAAGATATATTAATATATAATTTAGAATTAGATTTTAGAATCTAAATCTTTTTAAATATATTAATAATATCACTTTTTTAATCTTAAGAATAAATAGTACTATCTTATTTCTAGACTTTTTTAATTATATTATTATTAAAAATAGTCTTTATCTTTTTAAAAAGATTTTTTAGATTTAGTTAGATCATATATATAAGATATAGAATATAAATAACTATAATATTATTATCTAATTTAAAAAGTTTAATATAATCTTAAAGCTTTTTTAAAAGTTTAATATTATTAGATATATTATTAGTTATTATTATAAATAATTAATTTATTAACTTATATTTTTAAAGAATATCTATTATTATTATATTTAAATTTATATTAATATATAATCTAAAAATAGATTTAAAGTTAAATAAGATCTTTTAGTACTTCTAGTTTTAATTTAGAAAATAGATAGTAATAGTTATAAATATATCTATAAATAAAGAAATCTAGTAATTAAAAATAAGAAATACTTTAATTTTTATTAAAAAAGATTTTTGTCAAGAAATAACAGGACTATGACTCGAACCCATGACCTTGGGACCAGATCCCTACACAAGAAGAGACAGGAGCCCAACATATCTACCTCAGGCAACACCCCCATTTACATAGATCCTACTAACTCTCGCTCTCTCCCTCTCCTTTCTTCCTCAATTCTATTATCGTCGTTTCTTAGACCATAAAAATAATCTTTTTCTTTTATACTTTACCTACCTAATATAATAATAGAACTTACCTTAACTTTCTATACTTAATAGTAAATATCTACAAATACCTATTTTAGTACTAATCGAATAACTAATTAGAAGACTTCACTAAAATAGATTAGACTAGACTAGACTAGATTAACTAGAAATATATTAAATTAACGAGATACCTCTACCAATCTAGCTAAGAAAAAAGATATATAAGAAGAAAAAAATATATATAAAAAGATCTCTTTTATTTTTAGATCACTTATCTTAAGTCCAATCTCTAAGCATAAATATATCAAAGATTATCTAGATAGAGATATAAAAAATCATTTAAAGAAACTCTTAAAAAATAAATATATTATAAAGCTAATTAAAATATATATATAAATAGCAAACAAATATAAGATTAGCTAAATTATATTATAAGAAAAACAAGATAAAATAGATAGACTCTATATTATTATAAATCGTATAAATAATATAATTAATAAAAAACGAATTATTCAATTAGCTTATAAGATAAAGATTATTTAATTTCAAATCAAGATCTAATATCTAATAGAATAACAAACTAGCAATATATTAATTATAAAAACTACTTCTCACAAAACTTAAAAAATATTAAATCTTTCTATACTTAACAATAAAAAGATAATCTACTTTAAGTACTAAGCTATTAAAATCTACTAAAAACTCAAGATTAATATTAACTACTATCTAATCTTATTTATCTATAAGATTTATATAACTAGCTACTATAAAGATAAGACTTATCTTTATCTTAAAAAATAACTAGACTCTAAGTTCAAGAAATTATATATAGACTTTAACGATATAATTATTTATCTAAAGACCGTTTTCTATAATTTAAATTATTATATTAAAGCTTTTACTATTTACTATACTTTATAAATAAAATCTAAAAACTCCTTTATTAATTTTATTACTAATTATCTATAGCTAGTAGAAAAAACTAAGATTATTAAAATAAATTATAAGAAAGATCTCTTTATTAAACTTCTATCCTTATTTTAAAACTTAATAATAAGCTTAATTAATAATAATAATACTATATTAAAACAACTAATTAACGCTTATATTAAAAATATATACCAGATTAATATTATATAAAATAATTAGACTTATTTTAATTAAAACTAGAGCTTTTCTTTTACTTTCTAATCTTATAAAAGAAATATAAAAGCTAAAAAAATCTCTTTATTCCTAATAATCAAAAAAAAAAGATCTATAATATCTAATCCCTATCTTCCTTCTACTAAATATATCACCTTATTTAAAGAAGATAAATACTTCTATTATAAAGAGTATAGTTATTTAAACTACAATTATCTTACTAAGTTAATCTTAACTATATCTACTGTTACTTTTGCTATCTAGTCTAACCCTCAAATTATTAAACTAAAAAAGTTAGATTTAGAAAATAATTAAATCTAGAGAAAGTCTCCTCCCTAGATCACAAACTACTTATAATCACGAAAAATAAAAAAGAGTTATTTTCACATTATAATTTCATAGTTAGTATATAAATATTAATAAATTCTTTTTACTTCTATATCTAAGTATTAATAGATAGTAAAATAAATACTTACTTAATAATTTATCTTTAAATAATAAAGAAACTATAGCAATATAATCTTAGAATCTAGAAATTAGACTAGTCTAGAGTAATTACTAGACATAAGAATGAGACGGTGAATGGGAGGCCAGAAACGGCCGCCTCGGGGGCCGTTTTAAGCCTTCCACTCACCGTTGTCGGGCTTGGCATCACGTGAATCTAAGCCCACGACCGACTCTCTCAACTGCCACCCATGCTTTCCGTTGGCTGTGCCTGGTGCCTGGGCCCGACCGAGACCACTCGCGCTATAGCAACCGCCGCCGCGACCCACCCTCAGCCATCCTCCTGAAGGAGAGGAACCAAGGATGGCTCCCCTCCTTGGTTCCCTTCTTCCCTCAGTTTTTATAAATATCGACTGCCATGGCCCCGACACAATGTTCTTTCTTGCTACCAAGCAACTCTTCCACTCTCAGGTCGGTCTCTTCGACGGCACGGCACTCAAGTGTGAAGAGAGAACCAGTCTCTACCATTTACTTGTTCTTTGACTTGCCTCGTTCCTTGTACCTTCTTTGATCGCATCCACCCCCTCCTGCCATGTCATTTGATGGTTCTGTTCCGTCCGACGAGAGCGATACTACCCCAGGCCATTCTGAGGTTTTTGCGGTCCACGCTTCCGACACTGATTCCTCCACCGAGCCCAGCGTCTTCGACTCAAGCAGCGAGTCCGAAGATGAGTCCGAAGATGAACTGGTATCGGAAGAGGAAGAGGAGCAACTTCCACCAGAATACTACCTCCACGAAGCCGAGTCTCTTGATGTCTCCCAGCTTCGACAGAAACGCTACAGCCCGAATACCCAAAGGCATTTGGATGATACGCAATATTTCTGGGACCAGTCAGAATTCACTACAAACTTCTACCTTGCTTGGTTCGCTGATTGTTCTAGGTTCTGCAAAGGCACGAAGCGCGATCCGGTGGAATGTTTGTTCTGGCTCTCTGATACCGAGGAGACGGTCCGCTTCCTCAAGGCTCTCTTCTCCTGGCGGTGTGACCAGCGACGGGGAAAGGATGGACGTCACACCGCGGGAGTGAATACCAAAAGCACGCTCGACGCATTTTGGAAGTGGTGGCATCTGATCTACAAGGCCGAGGTTGGACATGGCGTCAGCAAAGATATCCATGTTAAGATCCGTGACGTGAGATCCTGATTGAATATCTATATCGATAAAAATTGACCGGGCTGACTTTCAATAGGTGCTTGCGATAGTTGCAACAGAAAAAAGCCTTTCTCTGAAAGGTCGACCGAAAGTGACTATGTATGTCGAAGATGTGGCCGAGTTTGCACGAGTGGTTCTATCTACAACAGAAATGACCTTTCCTTGTGGCTGGTACCGGATACAACTCCTTCTTTTCTGCCAGCTAGCTGCTATCACCGGTAACCGTCCGGGGGCACTATTGAAACTTCGCTTCCAGGACCTCAAGTTGACATTAGTTCGAGATCCAAATGGTGGACGACCCCGACTGTTCATTTATTTGAGGCCGGAATTCACAAAAACATTTCTTGGCGGAAAAGAGTCGTAAGAATGTCCCCTGTCTTTTGCTTCCTTCCCTCTCCATTCAATTCACCCCTGATTTCCCTGCGCAATTCTGTATGCTGAAGTTCTTCCGCCAACGGACCCAGTCAAAGCTTGCTCACCATTTTGGAATAGGAACACGTTCCCAATTCCGGAAATCATCTTTGATCCCACCCTGGTTCTCAGTCCTCATGTTTTTCTGCTGGGTATGCTCTTCAGGATTGGTGCATTCAAAAGTCTGTCCAAAGACGGCCCTGTGATGGATTGCCCTGAGAAATTGTACCGTCTCCGGGTCCTCCATGGTCTTGGTGAGCAGGAACTAAAGCTAAAAGACGAAATTCTCGATCAAAATGTGTTTTGCCAAGCACTACGGGAGCCTGGTGGGATTCGAATTGCAACAGAAGAAAAACTTACCAAGGGATGGCTGAGTTACCGAATGAAACGAGGTGGTGAAATTACAGGTTTCGCGGAAGTCGCGAAGCCCTACTGCCTCCGATACGGCGCAGCAAAAGCGTTCAACGATAGCCGTGAGTGAGACATTTTGCATGATAGGATCCCAGGCTAATAATTCCCTTCAATCAGCGGATGTGTCCAGTGAACTACAGAACGTGATGCTGCAGCATGCCAGTATCGATACTTTTGTTCGGCACTACAGCGTGGGTATTCATGTAGATGCCCAGGCAATTGTACGGGGCATGCCCGCTCAGAAGCAGCTCATGCGGTTTGCCTCCTCGATGAGTCGGTCTATTGATCCCCGCAGACCATATCGGCTAGAGGATTCGAGCTGTATCAATGAAATTCCCCGTGTCCGCACTCTGGAAGAAAGGAAGCAGGCGCGGAAACAAGTTCGAGATGCTAAGAAGCGCACCTATGAAGATGCCCAGGCTGCATTGCAACGGGAGTTTGGTGATGATCTTTTGCGGAGGGACTCCCCTCATCTCGGAAAGATCCAGAAGCGACGGAAAGCTCAAGAGAAAAGTGTCAAAAAGTTGCGCCAAAAATTGGATCATGCAGACGAGCAGTATGATCGATCAGTCAAGCAACTACGGAACGAGAAAGGGCGACAACGGCACCGCTTGATTCGTGAGAACCTGGAGCGTTACAAGAACGAGCAGCCAGTGATCGACAGTGAACGCCAACTTTCCGGAAAGGTTGTTGACGAAGAAGTATTGGTTGCGCTGGAGCGAACAGGCTACATGACACCGCAGCATATGACAATTATCGACACTGTCCTGACGATGCCAGGTACGACGATTGAGAAAGAATATGAGCGTCGAATTGCTGCAATCAATGCAGTGATTGCGCTCTGTGATGCAGAAGAGGGTGCACCCTCGCGGTCTCGTGTCGCCCGAAAACGCTCCGCCGATGCTGGCGATATGCTACCGACTGCCCCCCCTGCCTAAAAGGCAGAATTCAACCCCTTCAGCTGAGAGCGACGATGCTTTTTCCAAAGCTATCGCTTCAGTTTGCGTCAAATCTCCAGCAGAGAGACCAACGATTTGCTTTATTTGCCTTGGTACCCCTAGACTGCCACAGAGCGAACGTCTGAGGATGTACAAGAACTCTGGATCTCTGAGCCGACACTTCGTCAGTAAGCATGTCAAGCCGTTTTCGAATGACATGCGCTGTGAGTGCTCTATTTGCGGGGAGAAGTTGGAGTCAAAGTCTATGCTATTGAACCATGCAGAAAGGGTGCATGGAACTGTCTCACGCTCTTCTAAAACAGCCCTTGGGCTGACATAGATACGAAATGGTCTCCGTTTTCTCACTTTGTGGAGGTGTAACCGGGGTTCAGGTTTGGGGGTGTAATATTATATATCTTAGTTGGGGTATCTTAGTTGGGGTCTATAGACCTGTTTAGCTTTTGTAGAGCGGGTCTTTGCGGTGTAAGAAGAATGATGGATTTTCGCTTCCAAAAATTGGGTCAATTCCGAGTAAAGGGTATTCTGTTGGTGTAAGGTACGGAGTATCACCACATGAATGAACCTCGTTTCTCATGTCATGGTTTTTAATTTTAATTTTATGATTGTAGTCGTATGAAGCATGTCTCACGCCAGGCTGTGTCAGTTTGCGTGAGGCCTCGAACTAGACGTAGGCCTTGTTGTTTATGGACTGACGGGGCGGGCCACCAGTCCATCTAGCTCTCCTATAGTGTAGTAGTATAGGTTTGCCTGTTATTTCCGAATCCTCTAAGCAGTCTTGTATTGCGAGTCCGAATCTTGAGACTGTAGCATGGCATCACAGCACAGGCTAGGTTGCAATCGACGAGTAAGACGGGAACCAGTCTTCAGGCGTCTGTGAACCGGCGATATACACTCCGCGCCTTACGGACAAAGCTCAGGCCCATCAACACCCTACCGGTGTTGAAAGCTTTGTTAGTCGGCATGGCACTATTACTGTATGTTACAGCGCGGTTCTTCCGGTATGGTAAAAATTACTATACAAAACATAAAGCGATGTTTAGTGGGTAACGAATAACCAAGTGTGACAATACCGTGCGGGGAACTCGAAAAATTTCCCCCATCGGAGTTGACACCCGGTTCTGCCACCGCTGAGCCAACCCTGAGCCTACCTGGAGCCAACCTGGAGCCAACCTGGAGCCAACCCTGAGCCTACCTGGAGCCAACCCTGAGCCTACCTGGAGCCTATTCAATCCGAGTACTACTTTTAGTCGTGTTCGTGTCTTATTCAGAAGACAGAAGATCGCCAACACAAATTTCTATATTCTTTGCTTCCTATTGGATTTGTGCAAGAATTTGTACAAGAATTACTACCTTTGCATGTTGTTCATATTAAGTCTAGATTTTCTTTCGATTTTATACCTGTAAGTAGCATAGACTGCAGTTATGATATATATTTGATTGCGACAAAACCCTGTGAGCTATTAGGAACAGAACGCTTGACGCGAAAAGTACGCCGTACGTAATGATCAATCTATCTTGGCACACGCTTATATGCTAGTGGAAAGTCAAAGTCCTATTCTAGTATCACAGCTTCTCGCCTTAGAAAGCGAGTCCTATTTTCTAGTCTTCGTTGCGGTCTTGCTTTGTGTTTGTGGGTTGCCAGAAAGAAATAAAATACCCTGATATGTAGCAAGAGAACTATAGGAGACGCATAGAACGTTGCACATTGGTGAAACCGTACAGATACGAGTATGATGAAAATCCGCTAGTATATAAGAGTCGTGTACTATATCCTTGTCTCTTTACTTTTGAGAATCGGGATTATACACGCAATTCAAACTACTGGAGAGTAGAGCTGCTCTTGTGAGAACGACTAGATCTTTGCTTGGGCGGTGCTTCCCCGTCAACAGAGGTTGCTGCTGGAAATTAGCATTATATGATACCTTTCTGGGAGAACTTACATTTCTCAGAGACTTGATTGATCCTGCTGTCTCGGTAGCGGACAGAAAACCTACAGCGGCAGAATCGATTGGCCATCGCTCTAGATTAATCACGCTAATAACGTCTTGATCTTTGTCATATTTCTGTATGAGCCGTATTGTGATCGAAGGAAGGGCTGCAATATATGCGGCTTTAGATTGCTTTGGTGTGTAATCTATATAAAGGTCCAAACTTGCTGCGAAGTGTTAGTCCGATAATGCAAGGATTCGGCTACTAATAAACCTATCTTGATGATTCTGTCAATGCCAAACAATATATTATCATAGTTTAATGATTGGTGGGTAAGGTTAAACGTAGATAAATAAGAGACACCGTCGAGGATCTAAAGAGTTAGAATAGCTCATCGAAAGGACATGAGGGACAAATCTGGCTTACGATGGATCCCAATTCTGTCTCGTTGGGATAAACGGATGAAAAAGCGACAACATGTGCGAGCGTTAGCGGCAAATCATCCACTAAGAAGAACGCGAGATCTTCGTGTATGTAGTATTCGTGTAATGAAAGAACGTTCCTGTGTTCCAGACGTCCGAATCTGTATATCAGTTTTTGAGCATTCTCTTTCGTATATGTCCGGATTGTTACCATGCGAGACGGCCGGGTGCGGCGTGTGGTAATGGTGACTTTGCCAGCAATTTCATATGTAATGACTTCCCGATAGGTATCCTACGGCGATTCCTGTCTTACAATCAAACGGATGCAATGTTTTCCAAACCACACAAGTGGGGTAGACAAAGGCTCTTGGGAGGCCCTGTGACGACCTTCTTTTTGCTGTGGCAGTGAGGCCTAGTTAGTTTCGTGGTGGCCGTCGTATGACTCTTGCAAGTAGTGGGGGCCGATATTGAAATGGGGAGCTGAGATTGAGCATTGATAGTGTTAAGGTCATATATCATGTTGTCTTTGAATGGGTTGGATGATATTATGACGGGAGTCTGTTTTTTCCTGATCTAATACTTGCAAGAATCAAGATAGGAAGTGAAAATCAAATCATTTATACGCGCGGTGTTGAGGTTTGGACTTTCGTCAATGAGAGGAGATGAGAGCTTTGACTGATTGTCAAAAGAAGAGGCTTATGAGTCATGGGGCTTATATAGAAATAGCTATCCGCATGTATAACCTTTGCGACTATTATGTGCTATTTAGCCTTTATGAAAATGAGTCTCGAGCTAATTGAGGACTTCCATACAAATGGGCACATGACCACATTGCTCAGCATAGTGGCTCTTTAACTCAAATTCCTTAGGATCTTGTTTCCCATAAAAGCGCTTTCCGGTAATAGGAGGCTGTTCACCAATGAAACCTAGGATTCAAATTACTGACAGCGCAACAAAAAAAAAAAAAAAAAAAAAAAAAAAGACGCAAACTGTCAAAGAAGCCAGAGTCTGCGGCAACTTCTTTGTAATGATGGCTTTATTCACCTTGTTTGCTCTATGACATGTTCATGTCCACGAGCGCACAGGATCAAACATAAGACGGTTATTACAGTATTTGGTGGGCTCGGGGAATGATAAACTTGCTAGTCATTTTTGCGCTGCGCAATAGTAGTTCTATTTATGTGCCTATTAATGATAACTTGCGGCTTATGTGCGACCAGGGTCTAATTAAAGACGCAACAGCTATATTCGATAGATGAAGAGAGAAAGTTAGATGGACTTGGTTATGGTCATGTATTATTTTGGCTTGGAAGCCTGCTTTTCAGCACGGCGAGTCGTCTTCACATGGTTCTCCGACTAGTACTGCTACGGCTGCTCTGGGTCTCGACGCTCTAAGCTTTCCTGTCTTACCAATACTAGACTCTAGTTGATAGGTGATGTCTTATTTGTCCATCTGAATTAAGGTGCTGGTACTTAGGAATAGAGAGATCGCAAAATAGCCTCGAGTTGTAAGGTCTAGTAGTCACGAACGGATTAGCAGAATGGCGCAAATGTCTTAGTTCTTGTAGATGGTATAACGCAAACCATTGCAGGGCTGCAAGTGATGTAGGTCGAGTAGCCCAAAGAGTGGCTGGCTGTGGTATTCGAGGTGATTTGGCTTTTGAAAATATCATTGCTTTATCATTCTAATGCCTGGTCTATCTGGTACATTCTGTGTGATCTTTCTAATATCTATTGTATTTAGTGGAGATAAAGATGCACCTGGCTTTCACATATTTTTGCTTGTCGAGAGGACTTACAATATATACAGGATAACGTCCAACCCATCTTCGTGCCTGAAAGGATTCTATCCATGACTGTCAATCGAAGTTCAGCACGTTCTTAAATATACCGATTCTTGGTTCCCCAACATTTTGTTTGATTTTCAATTTTCAAGGACCAGTGATTTTATCCGAATATAGCGAGCTAGGTTAGAAAAACAGAAAGCTCCTCAATCATATAGCCGCTCCTTATATACAGCAGCACATTGCCGGCACTTCTCTCCTGGCTGTGTTGGTGCGGGATCAAGATCGGAGACAGTCCCAGGTTCTACCTCTTTCCTCGCGATGATCTCTTTGTATCTGCTCTGTAATAATCGTGTGGCAAGATACATAGTGGCCCACTCCCTGGAGGAAATGGTGTCGGAGACTAAGATACGGTCGGATAGTATTTGTAGGTATTGAATTGTGTCGTTGACTATTTCAATACTAACTGTTGTAAGGTTTAAGGGACTCTTTCGATGCATCTCTTGTGAATTATCCGGTTTTTGAGAGATGGAGTACGAATGTCGGCGTTGTTTTCGAGGGAGGGATGAGGACTTAGCCGCTCTCTTCTTTGCGATTAGTGGGGGAAAGTCGGGATTTTCAGTCTTGATGGCGATTGGAGGTAACGTGTAAGACCCTGGGCTAGCAAGAGAGGGAGCAACAGAAGTAGCGACCTCTGTAGCTACAGATGTGGTGGACTGGTCAACAGCCGGCTGTAGAACCTGGCTTATGTGTCCGCGATTCCTATGGGTAAATTGGCTAACGACGCGACGGAAATTTTCCGCTGATTCATTGCCTCCATGAAATAGATTGTTAGCCGATGGATTCATTGAGAAAGGAATCTAAGATGACGATATCAGTTTGCCATATAAGTCCATTGTGCTCTTCTTTGTCTGGGGTATTGGACCTTTCTGATACCTTTGGCAGCTCATGATCCATGATGATTGCTTGGTCTTTCTAGTGATGGACGGTGCTGCATCGGCAACTAACTGAAACAAAAGAAAGGCATAGAATCATCCAACATGAAATATATATCCGCTATCAGTTTTTCGCTGGTTACTAATATCAGTGCCGGCTCCCAGGAGGATTGCGGATGTTGATATTTTGCCTCAATGTCGGTCGAATCATCCCATGTTTTAATCCGATTGCCATATTCACGTGTTTCCCGACCCACCAATTGATTTGAAGCGCATTCTCGGGAGCAACCTGGCTGCCAGATTAGAGTTGGTCATGAATAGAAACATGCGGAAGGGAGTTGTATTCCGATATCTCGGAGACTACTATTGCGTCACGGTTCAGCCGTCTAAAGAAAGCCACAGTATATAAAAAAGACAAACAGTGGAGACTTTATTATGCTTCCAGGAGTACTGGGGCTTCATGGTATCCTCGACAATACCCCGCTAGTAACACGCTGGTATGATACCACCCGTATGATGTTTTCAGATCACTGTGCTTCCAGCAGCACTGGGCCTTTGGACTCTTCCACAATAGCTTGTCAATATCGTGTTGATACATTCGCTGAGTGTTCTCCGATAACCATCTTTGAGGATGTAAGGGTGGTGAATAACGTGAGAAAGTTGATGTCAACGTTTACATCAACGTTGAACATAGACACCACTGAACACCAACAGCATATGGGGGTTTCGCCCATAGGACTATCCACTTGAGCCATGTTAATTACCTAACTACTAGCATGACTTCGTTAATTTTCCCGGTTCAAAATTGATTCTTGATCGGCCGCGTTGGTTCACCGAACAGTAAGGGGTGCCTCATGGTTGGAAGCAGATCCTGAGCTAGCTGGCAACAAATCCAGAAAACTAAACAGAAACAGTGGAGAATCGAATTTGCCTTCCTGTGGAAGGGTTCGGAAGTTTGTCAATCAATAGCAAATAATATTTCCCTCAAGGTAAAAAGACCAAGGCAAAATCTGTCTGTATCTGAACGTTTCCTGGGATCACTATTTGGCTTGAGATATGTTATGCACAAAAGATCGCCCGTCTTGGAGATGATGATATTATACTGGCCCCATTTCACAGGACGGTAAATCCTAGGAATACACGGGGTCATTCCTAGAGCTGCTTTACTACCAAGGATCGGAGACGGGTTCCGAGGCCCTAGATCTCAAGGATAGAAATGGCATTCTACTAGGAACATTCTTACCGAGAAAAGCGCATAGCACATATAAACTCACGGCACCCTGAGGTATTCACGTGCTTCATCTTTTTGCCTCATTGTTTACTTCCTCACCTATAACCCTGAACAGAACCAAACTCACCTTCCTGTTATCAATTCAACTGTTTCTACGGACACAAAATGCCGCTAAAAACTACCGGGGATGTGATTCGAATGCGTCTCGCCATCCCTTTCCTTGCCATCACTTGGCTGGCCCTCGCCGGTCTCAGTTCGGCCACTGTACGCTTTGCGGTCATCCTACAAGACCGCGCAAAATCCGACCTCGCTCCCTCAAGCAACTCCATTCTGGACATCACGTTCGAAACCCTCATGGACAACATCGTCGTGGGCATGGTGATCGTGGCCCTCATCGCAGCGTCGTTTTCCATCTTCGGGATCACCCTTGTGATCCACCCAAAATGCCTGCGCGAAGACCGCAAGTATCGACTCTACTACGTCTGTACTCAACTCGTCGTCGGCTTTATCGTTCTATCCTTGGGGGGCTATGTTGCCAGCCACGTTCACGGTTTTCGGACATCATTTGGGTTATTTGCCAGCGAGGGCTATTTCCCATACTACAAGATTATGTATTATGGAGCCGTTGGCCAGGCGGCTTTCGGAGTTTTGGCGGTCATTATGTCTCTCGTGCCTTTTACCATATGCGCCTTACGCGGACACTAGCAGAGTGCGCACACGGACCTATAAAACAGGCACAGAGGGTTCCATCGTCCTCCTAAGATAAGGGTGAGGAACGAGTCGACCGGATTTACGAAAAAAGGCAGTCACAGGATTTGATGATGATTTTGAAAAATGAGAGAGGTGGAATCCAAAATCATTAGAGGTGCGATGAAAACGGTAAAGGAATGCACTCTACTGCAAAATTGGTGAGATAATTTACCAATTGAATTTCTTGATTGAAACCAAAGCATGTTCATCGCTTGATCTGACTAGCTAACTAATCGTGGCCAATATTGGAGCAGTATGCTGGGTGGCTTGATGTAGCAAGCAGGTGATGGTTGACGACCTGCTCTGCGCAAATATCCATCAACCCTGGTGGCCATCAAGGTTTCAAAAGCCGACCCGACAATAATGCGAGCTGCCCAGGGATCACATAGCCCCAGGAACTCGTACGTAACCTCTAGAATCTCCATTTCCACCCTCACAAAATCAGTCACGCCCCTGTTGACAGCCCTATCGGCCCTGGGAATGCAAATACTGGCCCTGGGAGCTCTCTTGCTCCCAGGGGCTTGAGTGCGGTTTCTGGGGGCATATGCGCCGCTGCTAGAAGCCATATAGCCTCCAGGAAGCCTAAAGGAGCTTCTGAGGCTTAATGCCCTCCCCTCGGGGAACCAAAGTCATGTTCCTGTTGACAGATTCACCAACTCCTGGAACCTCAAGTGCGTGTTGGAGCACCTGTTTTGATGGTATTGTTTTGTCATCCTGATACGCACTATTCATGCATTAGGGTTAGACCTGTATCTATATTACTGGATTGTGACCCACACAACTCCACAACAATACAACCAATATACCCATGCTACAACACAGACAGCCGCGGGCCCGCCACCGTCTCTAGAGGCAATAAGGTTTGAGGGTTATCTGGTGCTAACACCATTTTATTGGCATTCGTATCTTCTCAGGCGGAAATCATGATCAAAATGAACTTATCATTGGCGTTATGTTTTCTGCGTTCGGGCGTATGAATAGTACAGTAGATAGATAACCAGAGGTTGACTGAGTGAAAGCATAGATCATCTAGAGGGAAAGGTAAAGCGTATGCTCCCATGATACTCTGCGGCTTGGACACCGTGGTTTTCCCCGCGGAAGCTCACACGCATGTCCTCAAATCTTGCCGCAAGATGGGGTTCCTGAATTCTCTTCAAAAGATCAAGAACTGCCTGAGAGTGATATATGGCCGGACTGGGTGGCTCCAATTCCTTCGCATACTGGGCTCTTTTGTTTTCCACTTGCTCGCTGGCTTCCATGACTTTCTGCTGTTGTTTGAATACCCACCCCCTGTCATCATAATCCCTAGAACGCCGATCTTGTTAGAATACTCAAACTGCCAATATTGAAAAGTTGAATTGAAACATACCTAACAGTGGCGCCATACACACATTGAAGAGCCAAGTTGCAGGCGTCGAGTTGCTCATGTAGAGACGAGACCGCCAGCGGAGTAGATTTGAAGTCGTAGCATTCTGCGATGCAGCAGTACAGAAGTGAATAGACAGCTGTTTTAACTCCGTTTTCCAGAGATCCCCACTGTTCAGAGTCGACTTCTCTGATTTCCAGAAGAAGGCTACGCAGGCGCTCCACAGCCCCAACAATTTGGCTGTTCTGAGACGCTGCGCCCTGCACCATGTCTAAGCATCTTTCAGCTTTGTTCAAAGCCTGATACAAAGGTAGTTTGAAACCCGCAATGAGCGAATGAGTGACTGAAATCGGGTCGGTACACGTATAAATATTACCGTGGTTGACTCCCACCTGGAAGTATTGGTTGTTTGAAGTAAAATCGAACGACATTGTCAAATGAGAGGACAGGCTGTTGGATTCTGTTGTCAAGAAATGGTAGACCGGTCAGTGGAAGAAATGGGTCGGGCGATATCACGGATAGCAAATATGCAAAGGGTAGGACGGGGTACCTGTATTTATGTGTTTACACCTGCGGCCTTGGTTCCGGGTCAAGTTTCTCCCACAGGATGCACTGATATGGCTATTTGCAGCGAGTAATCCGATACCACAAGATATGATGTAAGTTCCTATAAAGAAAGCGCTCCTGGGAGCTTAGGTAATTCCGGGAGCCGGTTTACGTCCAAGACATTGGATAAATTTCGCGGGGCCGTTGACCAACCATCCGTTTGTGTAAGCATGCACCAACGAAGTGTTTGTGAAGAGTTCAAAACAGGGACTTTGGATGTAACATACCCCCACAAAGCGTACGTACCCTGTAATTCTATCCATTTTCACTATCAAGGATTGGGCATGTTTCTGTCAATGTTACTATTTATGCTAGGATCACGCATCTTGGCACTGGGAGTTCTCTCGCTCCCGGAAGCCTCTGGAACGTTTCTGGGGACATATGCGCCGCTTCTAGGAGCCCTATAGCCCCCAGGAAGCCCAACGTAACTTCTGGGGCCTTGTACCTCCACCGCGGGGAAACCAAAGTCATGTTCCTGCTGACAGTTTTATCAAGTCCTGGGACATCAAGATCGGTTCCCGGGGCTATGGCTAAGCCTTCTGGAAGTGGTCGAATGTCTCAGAATTTGTACGTAGGTCTGGTGAAAGCTTTTTGCGAGTTAACAACCTACCCTGGGAGGCAGAAGGTTGACTCCAGGATTCAGAGATACGGCCCTAGGAATACAACGGCTCCTGGGCCCAGGCAATGGGTTCCCCAAAACAATTTCGTATTTATTTAGGAGCTTATGTCAGGGATGCGGTTGCTTGGGCTTTACCACCAGGCTAACAGGCCAAAAAGGCACAATGTTTAATCAGCGACCAAACACCCAAGCTACTATATATGCTCGATCTCTGACAGCGTAGAGTGAAGATCCCGGGAGCAGATTAGTTTACTAGGATAAGGAAGTAGCTCCAGGAGCTAAAGCCTAGTTCCCAGGTGATACGCCGCTCCTATTAATGATTTTGTGGTTTCCAGGATCAAAGTTTATCGGCCCTGGGGATGATGGCTTGGCCCTAGGAGCAAGGTAGCTCCCAGGGGCTTCAGTGCGGTTTCTGGGGGTAAAGAGGCAGCTTCTGGAAGCCACATAGCCCCCAGGAAGTTAGTTCAACGTGGCTTCTGGGGTTCTGTGTCTCCACCCCGGGGAACCAAAGTCATGTTCCTGTTGACAGTCTTAATAATTCCTGAAATCTCAAGCACGGTTCCTGGGGCCAAAACTGGCCTTCCAGGAGTAATTGAATGACGGAGATTTGTGCGCAGGTCTAGTGAAGGTGTCATGTGAGGGCTTCCCGCGACCTCAGAGGGCAGAATATTGACTCTAGGGTCCAGAAGTGGGGTCCCAGGAGCATAACAGCTCCTGGGACCAGCCAATGTGTTCCCAAAACCATTTTGTATTCAATCATGATTGCATAGTGGAGATCCCAGGGGTAACTTAGAACTCGGGATCCTGGAAACAGGAATTGGCCCCAGGAGCTAAAGAGGAGTTCCCAAAATATAAACAGCCCCTAGAATTGCTTTTGGCGTTTCTAGGATCAATTTAGTAGTTCCCAGAGTCAGATTAACAATGGTTGTTGATCAATATAGATGAGCTTGTTTTATTACGTCGTGAGGCGGTACGGATAGAGTTGTCGAGACTCGCCAGCCGACCCGCGAGCTGTTTTTCTGCCAACACGGTCCGTCTTCGCCCTCCACAAGGCTCATGAGCTCGCTGTCGGCATTACTTTGGTCGCCACCGTTAGGTATAGGCGCTTTTGATCTACTAGCACTCGGCTTCCAGCTACGACATCTAGACTTAAGCAAACTCTCGATGGGATTTTTAGGCTCATTTACATTTCGTACTTGCAAATCTGAATCAGTCGCGTAGTGCTTGGAGTGAAACGATCAGGATTTCATTCATCCGGTTGCTAAGCTTGCCCCAAAACTTCATTCTCTGTTGATGGTGCGAATTAGGCCTCGCCAAAACCCGCCCACCGCCCAAACCCGCCCGCGAAAACCCAGCCCATGGGCCGGGTTGGGTCTTAGTCAGCAAACCCATGGGCGGGTTGTCATCCGGGAAACCCAACCCAAGACCCAAATGGGTACCCGCGATTACCCAAAAAAGCAAAAAAAGCTGACTGATCATTTTACACTAAGTTATGCAGTAATTTTCGATTATCTAATTGTTTCGATGGCGTAACTACTAGCTTCTAGCTGTGAATATTTGGAAAGGAACATGAAGGGCTTGAAGAAATCAAATTGGCTAATTATAAAGACTAGTATACCTCGTAACCTCGCAGTCTGCTGGAGGGCATTGTTACCCGACCAGAAGATCTCTTCTGGCTTCTATCACTCAATTGCATGATTGGAGGCGGAAGTAAATCTGCTTCGTCGTAATCAACCACGTCTTCCTCCACACTCTCTTCTTCTTGTTCAGGTTCGTGAATATGTCTGTGTATAGAGCTCCGGCCGGTCTCTACCACCGTACACTCCACTTGGTATGTCTCCTCTGGCTCAGAGTTACCCTCGAGATTCTCGCTCTCTTCAATCTCCTCATTGTCGCTGATCGGCTCTGCATCCTCTTCGATTGCCTTCAACGCTTCATCCTCTTCAAGTGCCTCTTGGCTCTCGCTCTCCAACGGTTTCTCCAGACGAATCAATTGCTGTCCCTCTAGTGTGAGCTTTTCTGAGCACATGTACATCATCAAGTCTTGAATGGTCCCTTCGTGAAGAGACCCTCGGCGATAATGACAAATGTCTCGTGCGCTATTGAAGAGCCTTTCTACACCCGCGCCGGTGGCAGGGACTGAAAGCAAGTCTCGTGCGAGCCTAGACAGCACTGGGAATTCGCGCTCGTGTTCTTTCCAATAAAGTCGCGGCGACACAGGGACATTGGCTATTCGAGGTCAGTCAGTTGTTCCAGTGTGTTGTACTGATTGCTCGTGCCTTCGCGAAGATACTGGTCCACTTCGTCATACTCTACTCCTTCATGGAAAATCGATGCACCAGGTGGCTCGAGTAGCCGATCAAGCTCTGTGCTATGCGAATTGGAAGATCGCTGGACCGTACGGAATAGCAACTCGGGGTTCTGCTGCTGATACTGTGTGAAAGATGCTCTCAAATATTCACAGTACCTTTTTGACGTATCTTCATGGCAAGTTGAGTACTCTCGAGCATCAAAAGCACTCAGTTTATACTGAGGAGCAAGTAATGTTCCAGTGCCATAGAGAAAACCGTGGTCGCGGTAGGTTTTTTCGTAGTACTCTTTCAGCTTCTGCCTCGCCACAAGCAACGCGCCATACATGTCTTTCTTCCAGGGTGTTGTCTTTCTCTTCAATCTTCGATTCGACCGTTCGATATGCTCCAGTAGTTTCCTATACACAAGGAACACACTATGGATTGTGACGTCTCTGGTCTTCATCAGAGCCATGGTGAACTGAAAAAACGGTTTGGTCAAATGAACGAGGTAGTCAATTTGCCTCCATTCAACGTCGGTAACCTTGAGCTGCGAGTATTCATGATCGCAGCAGTATTTGTCGATTACATTTCTCAGCCGGCGTGCTCGGCGAAGCATCAAAAAAGGTTGAATTCCAGCGTGTCTGAACGTCATGTAACGGAAAAAGCCGAGTACCACCTGATTGGAGGCATAAAAAAGCATCACGCCGTTGTGGGCTTGCGTTGACAAAGATCGCAAAGGATCGAATCTAATGCTGTCAGTGCTCTGAGTATATTGAAAAAGTGAATATCTTGGCTCACCTTTGTCAGTGTATGAGCCACGTCTCCATAGTTGATCGAATCCTTCAACCCGTGGGCTTGGGTGTCGGACCAAAAGGCTCTGACTTCTTTATTCTTAGGTGCTGCCCTGATATGTCCCAGTAGCTGTTTCAGGCAAAGCTGGATCACATGAGCCATGCAGGGAACCCGGACTATTGATTCCCTGGAGCTAATAGCTCCGATAGAGAGCAGTCTCTCTTGCAAGGCGCGTATCATGGTGTCGTTGTTGGTAGCGTTGTCTGTAGTAACGCTAAAAATACGATCGAGAAGTTTTCGTTCCTCCAGTAACCGGTGCAAAACATCACTAAGGTTGTTGCCTGTATGAGGACCGTGCAACGGCTCAAAGCCGAGGAGCATTTCCCTATAGTTCCAATCTTTGTCGATGAAATAAACCGTGATTGCCATGAATGCCTGCTGAAATGGACTGGTCCAACAATCTAAAGCGAGGGAAACCTTGGCATCTTCAGGCAGATCTTGTAACTGTAACTCTTGCTGGCAATTGACTGCATCCCGGAGCCGTCTCCGCAGGGTCTTCGCTGACGGGAGTTCCAATTCTCCGGGACCAGAATATAAAAGGCTGAGTAGCCTCTGAAACACCGGGTTCTCCACCGTCTGGAAAGGCAAACGAAGACACGTAATTGTCTTCAATATCTGCTCCTCGATTTGAAATGTTGTCACTCTGTGGACACTGGGTGAGTCTCTCGTGAAATGGTTCTGCAAAGAATCCGAAATCAATGACTGATTAAATCCCTTTTTCTTCCCTTTACGACAAGTATTAGACTTTTTGTGTCTACTCATGGCGCTTGTCCCATTCCCTTTATACTGTGGATGATCAAGCACAGTGAGACAAGCCTGGCAGATGACTCGAGGACGCCCAGAATCAATATCAGCCACCTGGTCAAAGTGTTTCCACACATCAGCGTGACGCGATCCGGTGGACCATTTGATCTGGGATTGGCCTTCTCCGTTCAGCTTTTGGCCGTACTCTGTTTCCTTCCACCATTCAAGAAACTCTGTCTCTAGATGCGACTCGTACGCAATCCATTTCTTTCTGTGCTGAGGTCCCACACGTCGGAGTGTCGCTGGAGGTCTTCGAGTA